ATCTTCCTGCTTCAGCCTCCCAAGTGCTGGGATTAGAGGCATGTGCCACCTTGCTTGGCTTCAACTTTATTTCATTGTGCCAAATGCTTTTCCAAAGTTGTAGATATCTCTAATTCAAGTAAATCACTTCTTTGTAACACTATAGCACATAGTGTATTCGTTTGTAGTGCAACATTGTGAGACAAACTGTCATGACCACAGTTGGCATGTATCAAAATACAGTTTTCAGATACTGTACTCATAGCTCACAGAACAAAATGCTTTTTTGGAAAAAATATCTGTATTTTCCATTTTGTATCACTCATGACTTATTTTTCAGTCACTTCTTAAAACTGTAGGCCACCTATTTTGTTTAGTAAGTGTCTAGTTTGTGTTACATTTTAGCTTCTGTGTTCTCAATTTCCCATAGTAAGAACCACAAGAGGCAGGAAACCTTTCTAGTGCCTCCATGAAACCCACATGATAGAGGTTGATGATAATGAAATAAAGCTCTTTGGAGGAATTAGAAGAACTAACAATTCTTTTGGTTTGTTGGTTTATTTGAATTACTTAACCTTTCTCTTTTTTTGTCCTTTTTTGAGACAGGGTCTTGCTATGCAGTTCAGGCTGGCCTCGAACTCACAATGATTCTCCTGCCTCAGCCTCCCGAGTGCTGGGATTACAGGCATGCGCCACCACTCCTGGCTGTTTGTTTGTTTGAGATGGGGGTCTTGCTGTGTCATTCAGGCTGGCCTCTAACTCCCAGCAAGCCGTTAGCCTTAGTCTCCTGAGTACTGGCATTACAAGCGTGTGCCACCACACCTGGAAACAATTCCAAAACCTAATCCAGCAATTTTTATTGTTAGAGTGTGTTCCAACCTCCGTGTCAGGAAAGGAACTAGTTAAATGACTGTATATATCCATAAGTGGATATATACTACTATAATAATTTGTATCTCCTGATGTGGAACAATCTTCCACATACATTAAATGTGGAATTAAAGGCTGAGGCAGGAGGATTGTTGTGAGTTCAAGGCCAGCCTAGGCTACAAAGTGAGCTCAAGGCCAGCCTGAACTGCATAGCCAGACCCTGTCTCAAAAAAAGACAACAAAATAAGAAAGATTAAGTAATTCAAACAAACCAACAAACTAGTTGGTTTAATATATGTGGAAGTTATATGAACTAGTTAAATGACTATATATATCCGTGTGTGGATATATACTACTGTAATAATTTGTATCTCCTGATGTGGAACAATCTTCCACGGTATGTTAAATGGAAAAGACAAGGTGCAGAAGAACAAGACGCATATAACATGTGCCTGTTTATGGTTGTTTTTTTTAAAGGTGGTGGAAAATATTTACAATGTACTTTTATGTGTGTGTGGTGCTAGTAATTGACCCAAGGCCTTGTGTGTGCTAGGCAAGCACTCTACCACTGAGCTACATCCTAAACCTTTTTTAAAATTCTTTTTATTTTTAAGATAGGATCTTGCTATGTTGTCCAGGCTGGTCTCAAACTTATCTTCTTGCCTTATCCTCCTGCATAGCTGGAGTTATAGGTGTGCCAGGCATGTACTTTGGCACCTCGCTGACTTAATTCTTTTTTTTTTTTTTTTCTTAATTTCCTTTTTTTTTTTTTTTTTTTTTTTTTTTTTTTTTT